AACACGAGCACTAAAAAGTACTCGTGTTTATTATATTAAAACACTAGCACTAAAAAGTACTGGCATTTATTAGATACTTCACGTGAAAGATTCTGTTAAAGTGACATTTATTTAATTTAATTATACTATATGTCAAATATAGAGATGAAAGTCTCTGTTTTCATGGATTATAAACATGTCTTACAGAGTTTTATTTGCGTTAGAGAGAAAGAGTGACACTTGTGATATTGAACCCAGACTAAGTAAAACGACGGATTAATCTAACACGAACTCAGCGGTCATGTCTTTAGAGCCTGATAGTAGAGACATTAAACCGCACGCTTACTAGCTGGGAGCGTTGATGGATTTTCACGTGATAGCATTCCATGAGCCGTCTGCATGGGTGAAGTAAGTGTAGTTTGGTAATTACAATTGTGTGTCCCCATTCGATTGCGATCTGAAAAAAGAAAAAAGAAAAAAAAATTACAAAAATACCCCAAACAAACCTCTGGCTTTTAATAATATATAAAATCTTGAACAATAATCAACGACTGGAGTTATTGAAAGTTAAAATAAAAAATATATGTAAAACTAAAAATGTTAAGTTAAAATAAAAAATATATGTAAAACTAAAAATGTTATCAGTATCTCAGTATTCGCGCTTCAATAAAACACCTCAGTTATACAGGGCGTTAAAGAGTGTAAATATTATTAACTTTTAACTACTCTATGTGAAAAAGAAAATGTTTATAGAGAAAAAAGTTTCCAAATTGACTGATATATACATTAGAAAAATATTTATTTAGAAATTAGTTGTAGAAAAAAAAAATATAGTAAAATATTATAAGTTAAGTAGCTGCGTGAACCCCCGTATACTGTATACAACCAAATAATTATTCTCAATTTAGAAAAATGTGACTTGACAATAAAAAAATTAACTTTTTATAGTGTGAGCTGTTTTTGAAAAAGTGGGTGAATAATATTGTAATTTTGGTTGAGACCCTATACATCTATGCGTTCCAAAAAAAACTAACCAAGAAATTAAAAAAATTATTTAATTATTTTAATAAGTAAGCCAAAAAGAACGAAGTATACAAAATTCAAAATTACAATAAAAAGTAGCACTATTTTAAAAAAATTCTATGAAATTATATCATTGAAGTCAGCTAATATTTTTTCTTAAAAATGTATATACAAATATTATTAAAAAAAACAATAAATATACACATATTTCTGTAGAGATTATGGTAGAGATTAGTAGTGAATACAAAAAATTAATAAAACACCAGTAAAATATTTCAAAATCTTCGTGTGATCTGTTTTTGAAAAAGGGAGTGAATAATATCTATTGTGATTTTGGTTCACCCTATATACCTATGATCCTATGAATGCTAATAAAAATTGTTACCAAGAAATTTAAATAACTATTTAATAAAAAATTATTTAAAATATATATTATGTAGATTTCATTAAGAAATAGTATGTATAATAAAAATAAAATTACAATAAAGTAGCCTGGAAAGTAGCAATATTTTAGGAAAATCTAACGAAAATATCATTGAAAACAGTTAATAGTTTTTGTTAAAAATTTCTATACCAAATGTCCAAAAAAGAAAACAAAAATATATTTACATGTATATAAAATGCTAATGTTTATCTGTGTGTCGTCTCTACTGAAGTAACGACTTGCTCTAGAAAGTTGCTTTTTTTACTAAAAGATAGCTAATTGGCTCTTCTAAAAACTGTCGTCGCCGGATTTTTTGTTTTTCATTTAATAAAAAAAGTTTATTTTCCCTGATGTCGCATGTCGTGGCGGATGCGCCAGAGTTCAACTAGTAAAATATATTTCTGTAGAAATTAGTAATGGTCGAAGAACTAGTAAAATATCATTAAATATTTCAAAATCTTAGTGTGTCTCTTTTTGAAAGAGTGGGTGAATAATATTGTAATTTTGGTTCACCCTATATATATATCTAGGTACTAAAAAAAATAAGGTTACCAAGAAATTTCAATAGCTACTTAATAAAAAAGCATTTAAAAAATAAATATAGATAGATAAAACAGATAAAAGTCATAGAGACAGAGTGTAACAGGGTATAAATAAAATATTACAATAAAGTACCATTATTAAAAAAAACAGCTGATAGTATCCCTTAAAAATGTCTTCGCAAATATTAAAAAAAGAAAATAAAAATATATACATATTTCTGTAAAGATTAGTAGTGGGTGAAAAGTTAATAAAATATCAGCAAACTATTTGAAAATTTTGCCAGAAGCATCAAAAAGATATTATAGTTTATCAACCCCAAGCACATAGTTTCTAAGAAATAAATAAAATCAATGAATTAGCAAGCAAAATTTACTAGCTTCAGAAAAACTATCAATAAAAATAAACTACCTATATTAATTTTCTAAGTATTATTTTGTTTAAATGCATCTTTTGTAAAAAAACAACATCTAATCTAATACATCTAACAAGTGCTTTTATAAAACGAATGCAAATATATTTAGAAAAAAATAATCAATGCACAATTAATATCATAAACCATAGAGAAATATTTCACAAACTTAAAAAACAAGGAACCAGTATTTTAATTTTTAGGGTTTAGATTGATTTCAAGAAAAAAATCAGCTGATTATCAATATAATTTTCACTAGTTATTCTTCATTGAATATTTCACTAATTAAAGCAGCTACAGGCAGATGCAATTCTGTGTTTTACAGCTTTCTAAACTTTATTTAGATTATTTTATAAAAGATGTAATACATAAGTATTCCCCTATTATATAATATCTTTAAGAAAAAAACATATCAAATGCACTACTATTAGAAATATTCTTCAGAAAATTCAGTGATTATTATATATTCACTTATATAAGGCTTTATTTCTAAAATACTATATACATCAAGGTATCTAAGTCTAAAAATTATTTATTTTAATACATAGACATCCTGTACAACCATAAAAACATAAAATTTAGAAAACTGTCAATCCACAACAAATTACATCTTTTTATAGTAAGCAGAAATTATAAAAAAGGCAACAATTTATACACTGCCCGATAAAATTTCGACCAATCAGAAAAGAAATGACGTGGCATTCAGCCAATAGAATTACTTTTAAGCCAGCCACTTTAAGAGGGTCCAATTTGTCGAAAAATATCAGGAAATTCATAGGAAAATGCTCGTACTTACCATCTCTCGAGTCCAGCTGGGCCCTACCCGCGATTGTACCGATCAAAATGGCAAAATGTGTAAAGGCGCACATTCACTCCCGAGTGCAGCACGTCTGGATACAGCGCCCGAGCTCAGGTACGACCTGAACTATATGACGTGTCCAGACCCATACCGATCCTTAGTCCATTCCATACCCATTCCATCCAAAGGCAGCCTGGTTTCTTTGCGACTTGAAGATCTGTTGCTGTGTTGATATTCGTCATCTCCTTCTTCACTGGCAGAGTGGTCCTTGGATATCCGTAAACCTGGATAATTTCTGGCACAATCTGAAACAAGACAAAATATCTTTTAGTTACATAGTTCATACGTTAATAATTTTCTATATACAGAATTTCAAATATCTAAAGTAAATACGTAATATAGTTTTGATTCCAGGACAGTTTTTGTATTTGTAATATTTTTTTAAAGAAGTTTGAAAAATATATTTTTTTTATTGATCTCTGAAATTATCGAAATATATTTATACTCATATCTTAGGATTATAATATAAAAAATCTGAAAGGAAGCCAAAAATGCAATAGTATACAGGGTGTTCCATTAAAAAAAGATCCCGATCCACTCACACTTTTTTGAGCCACTCTATAGAAATTAAAATATTTTCCTGAAATACATCCTCGTACATACTTTAGGTTTGGACAAACGAAATTCACAAGTTTTTTATTCTAGGAGCTATAGATGTCCGACGCATTATTGCCGGACCCTGTACAAGACAAGAACATCTGGAAACATAAAAACCTAAGCAAAAAGTCTCTAAGAAATAAATAAAATTAATGAATTAGCAAAGAAAATTTACTAGCTTCAGAAAAACAACCATCAATTATACCTACCATATTAAGTAATATGTACTAATTATTACCTTATATTAAGTTTCTAAATGTTATTTAGTATAAATACAAGCAGATCTATTTATTCTGTGTTTTACAGGTTGAAACTCTATTTAGATTATTTTATAAAAGATTTATTACATAAGTATTCTTCTATTATATAACATCTGTAAGAAAAACCATATCAAGTGCACTACTATTTTAAAAATATTCTTCAGAAAATTGACTGACTATAACTTATTCACTTAATATATAATGTTTTTATTTCCAAAATATACTATATTCATCAAACTATTTAAGTCTGAAAATTATTTATTTTAATACAGTACAATCATAAAAAAGATCTATTTATAGCAACAGAAAGTATAAAAAGCAAACAGAAAGAAACGGAATGTTTAACAAAAAAAAAGGTGGCTTTGACTTTTTCTGTTGATCTTGCGCTTCTACCGGCCGCCTTTAGATGGTCGGATTTTTCGAAAAATATCGGGAAATACATAGGAAAATGGTCGGACTTACCCTCTCTAAGAGTCCAACTATGCACTACACATGATTTCCGAGCACAATATACAAGAAAAAGCACTTTTCCTTAAAAATTCTGGAGACGCAACCGACAAAGACCATACATCGTTAACGGTCCGTCCAGGAATGATCAGTGCTGCCAGATCGTCGAAATGAATATCGGTAGATTTGACTATGATTTTTCGGTAGATTCCGTTAAAAATCGGTAGATTTGATTTTTTTGGTTGAATGTGGTATAGAGGTACAGACTAACACAAAATGTGTATTTTTTTAAAAAATACACAGATATCTGTATAGAATACAGATTTTTCGTAAACGATATCAAATATTTTTCTAATTCGACATATGAAATAAATCAAGTTTGAAATTATTAGAATAAAATGTTTATTAAATTATTATTCTACTTACATATTATTATAAATATAAAAATATTTCGAACAAATGGGATAAATATACAAAAGTGTAATATAGCTTATTTTGAGGTGGACCTATTCCTATTCTCTGTATAAATTTGTACTGGTCATACTGTTAATTAATTTTTTATCGACTGGAAAATCATAACAGTTTTTGACTCCTATATATTCTTTGGCATAGAGAAGAGAAGCTGTGGTATCTGAATTTAATGACATTCTTTGATTTGTTTTTATTAAATTTAACTGAGAGAATTTCCTTTCTACATTAGCGGATGAAACTGGTAAGGAAAGAATACATTTCACAAAATTAACTAGTAAATTAAAAGCTAGTTCTCCATCACCCCTTTCCATTTTATGTACTTCCTGCCAAAATAATATAACATCGTTTGAAAGAGTATTTATGTCTTTGGTATTTCGCAGCAGGCGCCACTGGTTATCTAAATTTTGTAGATTTTCGGGCTGTATCAGATTGGGAAATAAAAGTGCTATTGGAACAAGTGACGAGACTGATCCAGATTTTATAATAGCAGGGTCGACAAAATCAAGTTTCTCTAAAACATTATTTTTTAAAGGAAACCGCTGTATTATTTGAGAACAACCTTCTGTATAAAAATCTAAGCATCTTAATCGAAAAAATGTTAATTGATCTTGTGAAATCGTGCTTTCGGAAATAGTTTTCATAACATTTCCCCCTAAATATATATCTTCGATAGCCAAAAAATTTTTAGGATTTTTATAGTCAATATTTTCAAGGGGAGTATTTACGACGTAATTTCTTTTCAAAAAACAATCAAAAATACTTCTTAAAATATTAGTTACGTTTTTATAGATCAGGTGAATTTTTGGTGATTCTGATTGCATTTCTTTGTTTAAGTTTGTGAAAAATGGCAAGATAAAGTCTAAAAACTGTAAAAATAATTTTGTCGTAGGATCTCTCAGTTTTGTTAATATGTTTTCTGCAGCAAGTAGGTCATTTTGGCTGACAGCATCTGTAAAATATAACTGAAGAGCTCCGTACTGTTCAAGAATCCTGGATATAGCAGAATGAACAGAGAGCCAACGTGTTTGGGCAGGATGTAGAATTTTATGGGCTTTAACATCACAAAATTCCTGGAATTCTAAAAACTGCGAGGTTCTTTTAGGACTGGAACTAAAATAATTATATACATCACGTGTTAAGTCCTCTACAAACCGAGGCAATTTTTGGCAGGCATAGGAAGCGCATAAATGAAATGAGTGACAGATACATTTCATTACATATAATGCTGGAATATCTTTTTTTAGTAAACTCATTACGGAATGTTGGTGTCCCATTAACACATTCGCACCATCTGATGCAAATCCTATCAGATTTTGTTTATAGGGTATATCATTACTGGTAAAATATTCAACAATGTGATTATATAGTGTTAAAGCATCTGCTGAAGAAAGTTTTATTAATCCAAAAAAGTCATCCTTAATGTTATCGTCACGATAGCTTCTTACCACCATGCACATCTCCTTTTCGCATTTTCGATCAGTGGACTCATCCACGATTAAGGAAAACTTCACATTTCGGAGGTGTTGACGTAAAGTATCAAAGCCATGTTCCCCCAAAACATATTTTACTATAGATGTAGTCTTTGTTCTGCCGCAAGCCAAACCTTGCGCAATTTTCGAGTCGGGACATATTTTAGACACAATTTTAACCAAATGGTCCATTGTCGCGAACGGCAAATTGTGCTCGGCGATAAAAGCACTTAATCGTATTTCTCCTAAAAGTGATTTAAAAATAATATAAACTATCTCAAATTATAAATCAGCAATTACCGTTTTTAATGTCATCCTCAAGATTTTTTTTCATTGATGGTCCCGCTGTCATAAATCCCTCAAGAGTTTTCTGTTTTGAAATAGACTTAACGTTTTTTTCATGGTTTTTACTTGAACTGTGTTTAACTAATGCATCCTTTCCGCTGCTGACATTAATTTCTTTTCTGCAAGGCTTACATAAAGCATATTCTTTACCCTTTTCACTTTTAGTCAACCACCCTTTAAATCGTGGTGAACTTTCCCAACTTTCTTTGTAGCACTGTGCATATTTTTTCTTTTTTGCTGCTCCAGAAACGGATGTATCATTCACATCTGATGTGTCGGATTCAGAGCTCATGTTCAGTAAAATATTTTAACATTAAAAATAAAATCACTTAAGAAAACTAAACTGGACAACACTCAGATTCAAATTTCAAATGTCGCAACTCGCAACACACAAAAATGAAAATAATAAATCGCGTTGGGGAGTCCCCTCCCGGCATCAGCAATATAAATTGTATCGCCGCTGGTATTACTTAACGTGAAAACATAATCAACTGTGCTATATTATAAGTTTTCCAAAGTCAATTGGAATGGTTTGGGGCTCTTAACTGCGGCATTGTCTTTGTCGGCGAGTCGGCGTCTTTGTCCGCATCCCTGGACTATAGAAAAGCAAATTAAGGGTCCCAAACCATTTCAACTGATTTACATGTTCCAACATCAAACTCCAAGCACGACTACGTAGATAATTTTTTTATATCGCAAATATATTAAATTCTTATAAAAATCAGTATTTAGAATTAGAATAAATTTTATTGTAGTATAGATTTTTTTTCGGTAGAAATTGAGCTAAAATCGGTAGATCGGTAGGTTACTCCTTAATTCGGTAGATCTACCGAAAAATCGGTAGATCTGGCAGCACTGGGAATGATGTAGATCGACCGAAACGACCAATAAAATTGAGTTTTGGCGCTCGGTTTCTGATTTTTGAGGCTAGAGGGAGCGCCAACTAGCGCTTTTCTTCTGTTTTACTGATGAAAAATTATGTAATTTTACGACCTAAATTTTAAGTATAAATGAAAATTTAGCAATATAACGCTACATTGGAGAAAAAACTACTGCCAGAGAAATGTAGCTACGTGTTTTCCGAATAAAATGACATCAAACAATAACCGAATAAAGCAAAATTCACATAGATATCGCATTTTAATTACCCCAATGTCCCTAATTGTTAATATAAAAAAAAAGAGATTTTTGCCTTAAAAAAGATTTTGAAGCTTTAAAATAGTTAAGGAATTATAGATTATCATTAAATATAGTTAATTAAGCAGTTTCAGACCTATTAAACTCATCTAAATTAAAATAAAATTCAAAAATATGGTGGCGGTTTGGTAGCCTTGGGAATCTTCAATTAATATAACTTTGTTGTTCGATATTTTCCGAAATAATGTAATAACAAGGGTAATATTTGGTTAAATAGAGACTTATTACGTCTATAAATTATAAAACAAGGCAGTAATATCCCTATTTATAACTTCTACAAGACATTTTCTTAGTCAATGTAATGGCCAAGATTTTTTGCATTTATTTCATCAATTTTGCTATGAAATCAATAAAAAACCTCTTTTAGCATGATTCTGTACTGCACAAATTATGTATTTGTAGTTTTTTTTATCAATGTCCAAGCCTCAAAACAAGAATATACAAGATATTTACTTTTATTTCACTAATTTTGCCTCAACATCAATAAAAAAAAACACATTTAACAAGATTCTGTGCCCTACTAATTATGTTTTTGTAGATTTTTAGCAATTTCCAACCCCCAAAACAACACAAGAGTAAACAAGAAATTGTTGCCTCTTCAATACAAAATTTGAGAGTTTTATTTCTATTTAATTAAAATAAAAAATAATAATATAATATTATAAATATATCATTCAAAAAAAAACAAAACCATCCTTAAGTCAAGTCTAATAGTCTAATACCACAGAATATATAGATTATAGATAGCTACGCTAATACTATTGAGCAGTGGAGTCTTCTTAATTATTTTTCGGCCGGATCTGCCAAATCAATTTAGCCAGAACAAAAGCTACTAAAATTATATATGATGGCTTAAATATAATACTATATGACTTTGGTGTTTGGTGGTTACAAGGTCAATATTTTAAAGTTCTTATTTCTTTGCATTTTAAAAATATTTTGTCTTTAATTAATTAAACCAACCTTAATTAAAAAGGTAAAATTTGATTGATTGCTTAAATAATGAGTTTCCGATTAAATACTGGTCATAATATCCCTCTTGTGGGATGTAAGTATACAATATTATCAATTACAACATATTATTTTCATCAATTTTCTTTAGTTGGAACTTACACAATAAATGGAAACAAACAGACTAAACTTATTATGGATCAAGCTCTTTCTGTGGGTTATAGACTTTTTGGTTTGTAGTTAAAATACTAAAGTTGGTAAACCATACCTACTATAACCCGTGCTTTCTAGATACTGCAAAAATGTATTCAAACGAAGCTGAAATTGGTAAAGCCTTAAAGGACTTGTTGCCAAAACACAATTTAACAAGGAAGGATGTTTTCATTACTACAAAACTCTGTAAGACCTTACTTTAATGTGTTTGTTTATTACTGATTATTTCAACATCAGATCCAAGCGATCAGGGTGATGTAGCCTATGATGCTTTTCAAGAATCGTTAAAAAAATTGGACTGTGAGTACATTGATTTATTTTTAATACATTGGCCTGGAACGTGGAGCCAGGGAACTGAGAAACCTTCCAAATTAAGAGACAGGAGTTGGCAACTAATGGCTAAAGCATACCAAGAGGGTCTTGTAAAGAATATTGGTGTATCTAATTATACAGTAAAGCACTTGAAAGAGCTACTTGCTAATGATCATGGAGTAAAGCCAACTGTTAACCAGGTTATTACATTTTATTTTATTTTTATAACACTAAGTAGAATACTTTAGATTGAATGGCATCCATATTACCATCCTCAAGACGTCTATGATTTCTGTAAGGAACAGAATATACTTCTTCAGGCTTATATGCCTTTAGGATCGGGCAGCAAACACCTTTTAAATGATAAAGTAGTATCAAATGTAGCAAAAGAATTGGGAAAAACTAATGCTCAGGTAAAAACTTATTAACCCAGTGTAAAAAAAATTCTATATAAAAAAACTTGTAATTTAGATCCTTTTAAAATGGTCTGTACAACAAGGAGTCGGCGTGATTCCCAGAACAATTTCAGAACAACACATGAAAGAAAATTTTGATCTTAATTTTACTATTCCGGATAAGCATATGCAGATGTTAAGTAACATGAACAAAACTGTGAAATATGACTGGGACCCAGAGACTGTACCTTAGTACAAGTATTTTTCATTATTTTTTTTCCATATTCAAGAAAGCATTTAATCTGGTTCTTTATTATTACGTAATTCTAAGCAATAAAGTTTATTTTATGTTTTACAAGTCTTTTCTTTGAACAAATATAATCTCAAAGTAAAATAATTCATTGGCATTCTACCTCTATGTTTTGTAATTTTTGGAAGAGCTTTAAATCTAAAGAAAAATTTGCTTAAAAATGGTCATATCTTTAAAAAATACTCTGTATAGACTGTGACAATGTAATATTTTGGCATAAATATAGGAAGTTTTTGTTAAATTGCTACATAACATGTCAAAATGACTCTAGTTATTACATATGCTAAGGAAATTCCTCAAGAACTTAGAAAATATGGATTTTTATATTTTTTTATTAAATAGTTACTACAGAAGTACCAAATGATTGTCATAAGAGACTGTAAGAGACTTACTTGTATAATACTTTTATTAATAACATAACCAAACTAAAAATATTGAAACATTGACGCTAAGAAAGGTACAAAACCATTATAATCTGCAGTGGACCAATACTTTTTAAACTTATACAATCTTGATCTTCTCGTCCTGAAATTGAGTGTCTAAAACTATTGCCTTACTTATGCCAATACAGAGTATAAAAAAAACTTAAAATTATATGCAATAAAAAAATATGTTCCCAATAATTGTTTGTGAGAGAACAACTTAAATTACTTTCTACGTGACCTGGTAGAGGGCGACTTAGCTGCTGTAATAGATTTCCTTGCCTTTTTTGGGGCGTATTTCGCTTCTAAATTCGAAAGCATATCTACAAAAACCTTTCCTCTTTTTTTCATATTCTCCTCCATCTCTTTTTCTAGTTCATTCACTAAAAAGTAAGATTATAACAAATAAAACATTCATCATTCAATATTTTTGCTACTAACTGTCAATTTCAGCAGTTTCTTTTGCTTCAGCTTCCCACTTTTTTCGTCTCCTCAACTTTTTAGCTTTGCTCTCATTGAAAAATCCATCATACTCTGGCACTTCACCGTTGTCAACCATCTCCCTAACAATTTCTATGATTCTCGGCTCGCTGTTACAATTACTGAAAGGCACCAGTTCCAAAATTTTGTTCATGTTACCCTTATTTCTTTCGTAGGCTCTCTTAATATCATTTCGTTCTGTCTCAGATCCGATGTAACTTTTCTCGTACTCCTGTATATCCTTGAGTTCGATTTTTTTGAACATTTTGAACCAGTAGTCCATCCAGTTAAACTTAGTGTCTGTTTCATCATCAAAATCGCCCTGTTCGTCATATATTTTTCTTTTGTCATTGTCTTGAAGTATCGAATGAATTCGTCCCAAAACTTGGAATTTTTGAGTGGCGACTTCTTTCTGGCTTGGCTCAACTCTGTCGGGATGGACAAGTAATGATAGCTTGTGATAAGCTTTCTTAACTGTAACAAAACAAAATGCCAGGAAAAAGTAGTAAAAAAAGGTTAAAATTGTTTCATAACTCACTGTCTTTTAAGGTTGCGTCTTTCGTAATGCCAAGAACTTCATAAAAATCTGTGCTACCATAGTATTGAAAACACTTATCTTTAAAGGTAGTCATTGTGTGATTTTACTGAAAATTTGTACAAATATAAACTAGAGAAACCGCCAAAATAATTTAAGAATTTTTGATTTGTTTGACCAGTGCCTTCTATTAAAAGATCAGCCTACGGGCGAGATTTATGACGTCACGCTAGTTAGATATAACGGATTAATAAATATGTTGTAGAATACATGGAAAACATAATTATTCCTCAGATTTTTGGTTTGTATTTTAAAATTGATATAGTTTAAATGAAATATACATAATATACAGTTAATAACTACAACATATATACCTATTTATAGTAATAAATACTTTGGCAAATAAACTATGAACCATACAAATGCAGCAAATGTTTTACAATGTACAAATAATGTATAGGTACATACAAGATAATGGGTAAAATGTAAATATATTTTAAATTTTGGGGTTTGAAAATCGATCTAATTTAACAAAAAACATTTAATATCTACTAATAGTGATGTATTATTATTTGCATTCACAAAATTTATATGTATATTTTGCAAGTATCAATGTTCGAAAAATTATATTTACAAATAATACAATATTATCTAAAAAAGGCGTCAGCGATGGCTATGAACTGAAGATCGCTGGCATTTTATATGTTAAATTATTCTAAAATTTTTGATTTTCTTGGGATTTTTAGGTTCGGGAAAAACGCGATGATTAAGTTTTCATTTGTTTCATTATTTTTATTTGGTTTAAAAAAAAAACGTTTCGGCTAACTATAGCCTTCACAGTGTTGTGTCATATGCGAATAGAGGTCGAATATAATCCAAAAAATTACATATACAATATAATTCACACCTCATAATGTTTACTGCAATTAATAAACTAATATAAACTTATCAAAAGATGACCACATATATATTTTTTAAAATTATTATTCTTAACACTAAAATTATCTACATTGACTATGGAGTATGCAGTAAACATTACGTGCGTGGTGTGAATATTTTATATGCAATTTTTTGGATTATATTCGACACTATTTTTTTCATATGACACAACACTGATGGAGGCTATAATGTTAGCCGAACCGTTTTTTTTAAACCAAATAAAAATAATGAAAAACCAAATGAAAAATTAATCAGCGTTTTTCCCGAACCTAAATTCCAAGAAAATCAAAAAATTTAGAATATTTAGAAACAAGGTTCAAGAATATCAAATTTTCCAAGATTGTAAAATTCTAGTTAATTATTTTATGTGTACAGTTATTTAGGGAATGTCATCGATGTTCATTTCCAAGCCAACTAGACGCCGATTTTTTTCGATGATACGGTATAATTCTCACGTAAAATGTAAATAACATTAGTATCCTTAGTATATATACTTTCCTTAGTATTTTTAGTAACACCTTTATTCTTAAAACTTAATTTTGTATTATGCAAATATACCAATTTTATTGTTATTTTATTCATATTGTATTCAGCCATCACTTAAATATTTGATATTAATTTGGTATTATAAATAATCAATACTATTCATTAAAAATTACTGAACAAATATATGTTATGCTTAACATACATTATATATTATCAAACAAAAACACATTCTTCTTTTAAACTGTATCAGTCTTGTCTTTACAAAAATCTTTTTTAAAATTTGAACTCAAAATAATAATCTTTTTCATGATCTCTAATACACATATTCATTATTTTTCCCTAGTTCATAATACCTACTTACGTGTTTGAATCTATCGAAGCTGAACCAGCAACACTTGGAGTGGAGATTCCACAATATGAATAAAATAAACATAATTGTCCAGTTTTCATTAATACCATCATGGGAGAATATTATTTTTAAATTTATTAAAGATATTTTCAATAAAATTCTCTTGATTTATAACTCGTACCCACTTTTCTTGCTCTTCCGGACACTTTAGGCTGCCTAGTATAACTATCCTTTCCACCAGGAACACAACAAAGATGAGGCATAGCACCAATAACACACTCCACTTAAGCTTTATTGATGAATTGTTAGAGTCTTAAAAAACACACACAAAAATCACGATAAGTAAAAAATGTATGGGCACTTTTAGGTTAAATCACTTGCACAACGTGTAATTTTTAAAATTTCTATTTTTTTTATGCGAAACCGAGAGTGACCATATATCTGGTAGTAGTTTATGTCACTTCAACACCAAAATAATTAGTTTTTTGCACTACAATAATAAATAATACCAAAAATCAAAGAGTTAAAACCAAAAATCAACCGACAAAATATGAAACGGAATCTAACCCAATATCTAAGTATGTACAGCTGATGAAGTAAACAAAAGTCCGCCCGTGGGCTGATCTTTTAATAGAAGGCACTGGTTTGACAACCGCTTTCTGTCACAACGTAGTAAACACTTTTGCCGCCAGTCGAAAAATATTTTTTATAGGAATCTGTAAGATAATATCAAAATTACAGAAATCTTAACGCAGATATAGTATTTACAGATTCCTTTATATCAAAAACCTTTAAAAATAATTTTTCTATTTTTTTTAACTTAATTCATTAGATTGGAATTATTTGAGTAAAGAAAATTAAGAAAAAGTTAAATGATATAAATGTCTTCAAAAAGAACCTAACTCCTAAAATTTTGTTTATAAATTAACTTATAAACAGTCGGTGTTTATTGTGGTTTATTAGTAGAGAAAGAAAACACATTTATTATGTTTTATATTTTATTTATTTATGTAGGTTTTGAAGTACCAGATGGCACACAGTGATATATTCTTTGTTATGCTATTATTGTTAAAATGACAGCGATCTTCATTTCATAGCCATCGCTGACGCCGTTTTTTTGCATTCATATTATACCGTATGATCGAAAAAAAACGGCGTCCAGTTGGCTTGGAAATGACGATCGATGACATTTCCCATATAATTTTACATATAAAATGACAGCGATCTTCATTTCATAGCCATCGTTGACGCCGTTTTTATTCGATCATACGGTATTTGTATGCAGGCGATTTCTACAGAATTTTTAACAAGTTATCTACTGATAGGTCAATTAAAACTCAGTAAATAAAGTATAAATAAGTGTATTTTAATAAAATAAAAAAATATACAGAGCTACGGTATATACAAAAATAATAATTTTTAAATACATATATAGACCCAAAGCTGTGTAAAAAAAGCGAACATCTAGCAGACCTCAAAATAATACCATAAATTTAAAGAGACAGCGTCATTTTTTTCTATTCATTATACAATAACAATTTGTTTCTTTGGCAAATATATTATACGTTACCTAATATCTTGTAAATTCTTTCCTTATATTAAGATCATAAACAGATTCGATCTGAATTGATTTTTTTCTTCTTAAAAGGGTACTGTTACCGTTAGAACCACTGTATTATATTTGAAATTTGTTCGTATACAGGGTGGCCCATTAGCGCGAGGCAGTCCAATATCGTCGTTGTTGACAAATACAGAAAAAAAGCTTTATATAAATGTTGCACGGTTAATAAAAGTACCGATCCTAAAAATATGTTGTTGTACACTCACCAAATTTTGATAAATTTTAAAGCTTAATATATTTTGTTCTAGTTGGCCGATTTTTATGATTTTTTAAGCAATCTGTAGCTTAATTATTTCGCTTTTTAGTATTTTTTATAAATTCAAAATAAAAGTTCACGTTTGTCAATTATACGAGGGAAAACAAAATGTTGATATTTTGGTGAAAGTTTGTAACACCCTGAGGAATATATTAACAAAGCAAGAGATTTAAAAATCATTTTATCATCTAGGTACGTCTTTTCTCAATAGTTTGTTTTTTTATTCGTCTCAATAGCTTCATTTTTATTGGAGATATTCGTTTTTGAATAAGAAAGTAACGATTTACAGCAATTATAGCTTTGAAAGCATGCCTTTGCTTTTGGGCCCTCATCAACACACTTATAAGATAGTGTTTATTGTTTTTGTAATGCCACTGTCATTGAAAAAATAAAATATTTTTAGGATATGCACCTTTATATTTTTTTTTATATTGTCATCAACAACGACGATCTGCGACTTCCTCGCACTAATGAACCACCCTGTATATAATTTAACATCACAAAAAACAGTTTCTTACATAAAGGTTATTATGTAATATAAAGCGCAAAAAAGGCTGTAATACAAACCTCGTCAGTGTCGATAAGAACGTTTAGAACACAACAAAAATAAATAACACGGTTTCATGTGACTGTTTTTTATAAAACAGTTTTCTGAAGCGACAGTGTACAGGGTGTCCCATTTTCGTGTGTTTTATGGGGTTTCTCGCTTATGAGTCGAGATACAAAGATGCGGTTTTCACATTACTATGTTACTTTTTTTTAAACTAAAGATGCTACACACATGTTCGTTCAAGTCTTCTTAATTCCTAAAATACAGGGCGAATTTTAAAATATTACATTTTTAGATCCCATCCGTGTATTTTGCTTATCTTATAACTTATCGAAAAGCTGATAGTACGAGAGCTAGCAACGTCGGAAAAACAGGTATTTTAAGACGTCGGGCTCTTTGATATATCTTTTACGATGCTCTCTAGAACAGCATGCGGCCCGTCTGGCTGCCGGTAAACGTTGCCCTACTGCGCTGCGCTACTGCGCTGCGGCAGTTGCTGCCCTACTGCGCTGCGCATTGAAAGAAGATCCTATATTTTTATTAGTCCTTTAAATTCTAGTATTGAATGTAAATCGAGCATGTCTCCATAGCGCAGTGCGTAGAGTTTCTGATAGTGTCTATCAGAATATGAAGGAAAATAAAATAAAAAAGTCTTTGTCCTGACCCGGATTCGAACTCTGAATCATCGGTTCGTGGTCGGAGACACTCCGCACTGCGCTATGGGGACATGTTCGATTTATATTCAATACTAGAATTTATAGGACTAAATTAATAAAAAATATAGGACCTTCTTTCGATGCGCAGTAGTGAACGCAACGGGTATCGGCAGCCAGACGGGCCGCATCCTGTTCCAGAGAGCATAGTAAAAGATATATCAGAGCCAAACGCCTTAAAATGCTTTCTCGAAAATGTTGCTAGCTCTTAGACTAGGATAACGTAGATTATTTTATGTAGAAACCAGTGGCGTCACTAGGAGCTGCCTTTTTTTAAATATAACACCCTCCATATTTTTTATTTTATTGGCCTTGTCAGTCTTTTTAAAAATATAATATGTTATTCTGTACTTATTTTCAACAAGGTAAAAAATGCACTTTTTAACATAAATAAATGAAGTTTAAAAAGATATTATGATTATTTCCTTTAATTTAACCAGACAATTCTGCTTTCCATCCTGTTATCTTAATAAACTGCACTGAAAATAAACTTGTGCAGTTTTTAGATACCGTGAAATGGGGTGACTTTACCTCTTGGGGTGACTTCTCCAATTTCCGTCCGAAAATATGTTAGACGTAGCCGTAGCCACTACTTGAAAAGAACGCATTATGTGTTATCGGTAAATTATGGGTGGAGGCGCCCCACGTCTCGGAACGTCGCTAAACGCTTGCCGTCAGTTGTAATGTAGCATTTACAGTGCTGTGAAGCCAAATCTGTTTTTAAAGCCTATTTTGTGCGTTTCAAACTTCTACGTGGCTGCAATAGTTAACCACGCTATATTGAGGTAAGTATTATGCAGAAGTTCGTTATAATATTGAGGGTGATGACGCATATTTTACGTAATTATGCTTTTAAATGGGGTGGCTTTGGTCTATCAATAAGAATAAGGAAGAGGGCAAAGACACCCCATATAAGCAACTAACTTTGCCCATCCAGTTTTTTACTAATTTTATATATATATTTGTTTAATAAACAAAAAAGCGTATTATTGTTGTGTTGTCCTTATTACCACTTCTAGCATAGACCATGCGCATTTGAGAAAAAACAACAATTTTTGAAATAAACACGATTTAAAATTCAAAATTGGGCAAAGTCACCCCACTTCACGGTACCACAATGTCAATCAGAGGTATTCATATTTTTAATACACTTCCGCAATACCTCTGCACACAGAAACTAGCGTGGAATAGCCAATAACCAAAATTTGACGTCGAATAAATTATTCGATTGTTTTGATTACCTAGTTTAAACCAATACTTTGTTTAAAAGATTATATAATAATAGCTCCCGTATATAACATTTAACGCCTTGGGATTAGCAAGGTACAGCTTGCCATGCTAGAACCGTTCGGTATACAAGGAAGGTAATGTGGTTAGCACTACGCTTCAACCGCCTATTATTACCTCAGGACTGCGAATCCCAAGTACTCGTTTAAGTCTGAGTCGACCTAGGTACCCAAACTATTTTTATTTTAATAAAAATAGTCGGCTGATGAAATGCCGGGTGTGGGATTCGAACCCACAACCTTGAGATTGGTAGACGAGAGCCTGTACCTCTACGCCACCCGGCACCTTGTTTAAAAGATTAATAATGAATTTTTACCTTGTTTACGAAAATAAGTATAGAGTATGTGGCCTGATGATGGGAATTGTTTAAGTCCCGAAACATGTCGCAAAAATCTTGTTACGCCACTGAATTCTACGTGAAAAACTATATGGGACTCAGTTTTCACGTTCTCAATAAAAAATGTAACATTTTCAATTTCGCCCTGTATTTCAAAAACTAACAGGGCTAGGATAAATCTTTGTCTAGCATCTTTTAGTTTCATAAAAAGAAGCTGAGTGATGCGAAAACCGCATCTTTGTAGCACTACACATAAACGAGAAACCCTGTAAAACACACGGAAGTGGGACACCCTGTACACGAATGAGGAAAACGGGAAACAATATTTATCGTTTGAACCGTTCTCTTCGATAGTTTTAACGTAAAACTTACACTAAAACAAATATCTTGCTCCAGCCTCTTCAATTTGCAACAGAGAGCGATACAGACACTGCAGCCAAACAAGTCCATGCTTCTACCGCCAGGGGGCTCATTCCGGGCTTTTCCTACACACATGCAACAACAAGAAATTAGTATTAAAAAAAAACGAATCAACAATTTAGATGATAAAATCCGCGATACACAAAATAACTATCCCACGAGGTGTTTCAAACTTTCACCAAAATATCTACATTTTGTTTTTTCTCGTATAATTGACAGATGGGAACTTTAATTTTTGATTTAGAAAAAATTATAAATATATGAAGCATATCAGTTATATATGTGTATCATGGTAAAATCACTATATTTATTTGCAAAAATAGTTTTATTTTTTGTACCAAATGTACTAATTTGCAAATAAACAGTAGAGTAAAACAAAACATAGTTATAAAAATGTCTTAAAAATATATGTTATATTAATATGTCTCGCATAAAGAGTTAGTAACATATAGAATTTTTTTATACATAAACATATAAAAATATAAAAAAAAATCTCAGGCTATATCAATTCTACGGGCATGCCAAAACAGTCAACAATAAAAAGCAACTACATATTAAGCGAATTTTTAGCGACAATGCAAGCGAAGTATACCTACAAGAAATATTTTATTTACAATATTTACATCGAAACGAAAGTTAGATTATTATCATTACATAAAAGTATTCTGTACTTACATGTGTAAAATATTAACTAAGACCAACTTATTAATTTAAAAACCAGACTTTTCAAAACATATACAAAAAAGTTAATTTAAACCGATATAAAAATATATCTTTTGAAAATTTTCACGTGTGCTGGATCATATAAAAATATGACGCAATCATATCCTTAAAGCTAAAGCGACGAACACAAGATTAGTCAAAATTAATGTAAAATGAGCCTGTGATGTGATCCCAGATCACATAAACCAAGGTGTATGCATGTATCAGCGTCTATTGTGTTAACAAGAGCAAAAAATTCTAATTATTCAGAAAAAGTATAATATGTACTCAATATACAGTGTTGTCCACCACATACGACACGGAGTATTGTAGCTAAACGATTAGATTTTTACAAATTGTAAGTTTTGGGTTCGTTGAGATCAACGTAAACAGTCAATTAATGTAGTTTGAATACTAGGATCATATTAATTGGTCCCAAGCAAACTATATCGACAATATCAGTATCTTTACTCTTTGAAAATTTGTTACATCTTAAAAAATAATCTAAAATGTCAATATTCCTTGGGTATAGTGATAAATGAGGTCTAAATTATAAGAAAATGCATTTTCTACGAAAACTTGAAGAGATGGTATAATATAATTTGATAGACAATTAAATTGTGCATCTGAATTACGTAAAATATACAGGGTGTTCCATTTAAATTAAACAAGTTACTGCCGTTTAAACCTGGTAATTATTTAATATAAATTTTTGGACTCTCTGTATAAGGAAGTATAATTTTTATTATTGCGACACAATATCTGACCAATAAATAATCTTCAGTAAATATGTAGTATTAAAAACTTTGATACCCTTGGAGAAATGAAGCCTTAAATTTTTTACTGCAATTTCACAAACTAGAAAATATTTCAAAAACGGTAAGGTTTAAGTGTGATAAACCTTAATCAAATTTACCTTTATTTCAATCGTAGAATCTAAAAATAGAATAATATACAGGGTTTTCTATTTAAAAAAATACAACTATAGTATTTTTTTCATATTTAGGACACTCTGTATCTTGTAAAAATATTTTTAAATTGTAGCTCTAATAGTCCTTCAACGAACCCAAAACTTACAATTAGTAAAAATCTAATAGTTTAGCTACAATACTCCGTGTCGTATGTGGTGAACAACCCTGTATTCCTATTCTGTTTTAATGAACAGTTAGAGTACTTTCATATGAAGGCTACTTTTGTCCGACACCAGTGTCTACTACTAGTGTCTCATTGACACTGACTGGTGGCTGACACATCAGATATCAGAGGCCAGATTCTGTAAGCATATTTCCTGTCTAGTGACTCATCAATCGTATACAAATAGCATAGGCTAGACAGGAAATTTCTTGCAACGGAGCTTACAGAATCCCACTGCAGAACATCTAGAATGTAGAATGTAGAATGTTTAGAGGGGGGTTAATCACCGCGACTTTACAGATCTATTGTGTGTCCTCCTTTCTTGAATTATAACGAGTTATTTTTGCTTTTTCCTTCAATGAACAAGGCTTAAACAATGACAACAGTGCTAATAATATGATGTTATACCGGGTGTTGCATCGTCGAGCGGGACATAGGAAATCCCATGTAAATTTTAATGGGGTCAATTATTGGCTTCCTTAATTATTTTAGAGAATAATTCTATTTAGGTTTATTGAAGAGCACTAAAACCCACATTCAAAAGAATGACTTTAGATATTTTTGATTAGCCCGTTTACGAGTTATCGCCGATTTCTTTTTAAATATTTCTCCTTTCTTATGGCCCTGTATTTACTTATGAGCACCAGTCAAGGTAAAAGATAACTGTCATCTTTCACAATACCTACATCGAAAATATTAGCCATGAATTACACTACCGAAGAAAAAGTATTGATGATTAAATGGTATTATCAAGGAAATAGTTATCAAAAGGTGTCGGACATGTTTGCTGCTCTGTATCCGAATAGACCGATACGTAGAAAATCTACAATCGCAAGGAATATCCAGAGATTTGAGACTAAAGGTACCCTAATAAATAACTGCAGATGTGAAGCAAGGCAGGAGCAAAGAGAAGATGCAAGAAATGATACCGACTTGGAAGTTTTATTGTGCGTGGAAGAGAACGATGGAAAGATCAGCACAAGCAAACTTGAGGGTGAAATAGGAATAGATCACACTACAGCGTTTCGAATTTTGAAACGACATAAATACTATTCCTTCGAATATGAAAAGCACCAAGAGCTACGAGATGGGGACGAAATACGGCGGCAGGCGTTTTGTTTTGATATGATGGAAAGAGCAAACACGGATAGGGAATTTTTAAAAAACATATGTTTCACTGACGAATGCACGTTTACCTTAAATAATGCACCCAATGTTCAAAATTATCGATATTGGAACAAAGAAAACCAACACAGGTTTGTCGAAACAAGGACGCAATATCCACAGAAAGTAAATGTTTGGCAGGGATATTCGGATACAATATTATCGGGCCATTATTTCTTACGCGAAATTTAAATGCAGAATATTATTTGGAACTACTCGAAAATCATATTTTACCTGCTTTACATGATGCCGCTAGGGAAAATCAGGAAGTTTGGTACCAAATGGCTGGCTGCCCGGTACATAGTACCCTGGCTGTTCAGGAATATTTAGACAATAGTTTTAACGGAAACGTTATTGGCCTAAATCATACAGTAAATTGGCCAGCAAGGTCTCCTGATATTTCGCCAAATGATTCCTTTCTCTGGGGCCATTTAAAAAACAGGATATACAAGGATAAAAAATACCCAAATCTAGACGAGATAAAAATACTATTTCTGCCGAATGCAATAGAATTTCAGTTTACCAACTAGCGAATGTAAGAAGAGAATTTTATGATCGCCTGGGTTATTGTCTAGCAGTCGATGGAGGAATATTTGAACATCTTAAATCCTAAAGTTCTAACAATTTAATAGTACCTAAATTAATAAGTTATTGAATATTGTAATAATACTATAATTAACCTTGTAACTGATTACTTTATTTTACTTTAATTCATATTAATTTGTATTTATAAATACATCTTTAACATTTCCGATGTAGGAATGAGTTTTCAATAATAATAAAGCACTAAATAGGTAAATTTCTGAAATGACAACTTCATTTGACAGTTATCTTTTACCTTGACTGGTGCTCATAAGTAAATACAGGGTCATAAGAAAGGAGAAATATTTAAAAAGAAATCGGCGATAACTCGTAATCGAGCTAATCAAAAATATCTAAAGTTATTCTTTTGAATGTGGGTTTTAGTGCTCTTCAAGAAACCTAAATAGAATTATTCTCTAAAATAATTAGGGACGCCAATAATTGACCCCATTAAAATTTACATGGGATTTCCTATGTCCCGCTCGACGATGCAACACCCGGTATATTACAGAGAAAAAAAATGTATGTAAGGAATATGGACGTTGGCGATAGTGTGGAGAGACGTTGACTTATACACATTGGTTTATATGCTCTAGACAGTGTAGTAAAGTGTAATTCTGAATAAGACGAACCTTCTCTAAGAAGAGTAACAGTGTTGATCGGGATTGAAAATAATATGCACGACAGTTAAATTACACCTAGAAATAAAAGGGTAACATGTAATTAAAGTTTTTATTTATCTTTGCAATTTTTAACAAATTCCATATTGTTTGATTTTGAAATTTCATCAATCTCATAACAGCTTAAATCACTACCTTCAGTAACGTAATCCTAATTGAATATACTCTATCTAAGGGTTATAACAAAACAGTTTTAACGTTATAGAAAATAATTGAGTATTGGTCCTTATATAAAATAAACAGTATCTTACAAAAAATGCATTTCTTTTAGAACTGATAGCACCGAGATTCTGATTATATCAGAATTTCTTCTTTTATTCTTCTACTTCTTGTCAGACTAGGAAATACTTTTTACTTACTGTTAATAAAATTGCCAAAAAAATGTTAACGCGGAAAGGAGAGCGTAATTAGGGCGTTGTTGGGCGCAATAACATTCAATAACTTAACTTTCCCGGATATTCAACTCTCCTGAAACAACATTTTATAGCTTCACACCTTCTCACGCCGATTTGATCAAAAGCAAAAATGGATTCAGAGAGTTCGAAGAAACAAATGAGTAAACAAAGTGTCCATTACATATTCAAAAAATTAAATAGGCATATATTATGAGAGGATAAATTATAATTTGCAATATTAATGGTATACTTGTTTTAATCAACTTGCTTGTGATACCCTGTAGGGAGCAGCAGCTGTAGTAGCTATTGCTAAATTAAATCACGTTGTAGCCTCATCTTTTGTGAGCATTTTATTTTTTTAATCACGATATTATCTCTGTTTATATTGGAGATAAGCCGCTTTAAAACGAACGTCGCGGAAAAATGCTTTGCAGGCAAAACCGCGACCAAACCAACTCACATGTAAACGCGCAAGCTGAAGACGTGCTCGACGATGTCTTGGAAGTAGATGGGGCCCTGTGGCAAGCCTCGTTGCAGACAAGCTGTTTTCTTTTAGTCTTCGTTGGATTGTTCTCTCACTGACTTGAGTTCTACGGCTAGTAGCAGATGTTGATTCTGAAACGCTGTAATTCTACGATTTCGTAAAGTATTCAGGACAATAAAGCGGTCGTCAATTGCATTTGTCTTCCATTTTCTTCCGGAACCCACTCGCCTGGTGAAATTTCCCGTTTCCATATACCGATTCCAGGCATCCTGGACTGTTGTTCGAGGTATGCCCAGGGTATCGGACACATAACATTGACTTCGGTCATCCTCAAAACCCCAATACGAGCAACATCCGTCACAGATAGTCGCAGATAATGGCATTTTTTAATTTGACAACCGTTGTTGTCATATTGTAAATACTCATAAATTCGTTTTCGCCTATGTCGCACAGTGGGCAAAAATCCAGAAGTATGTTGCAAAAATTCTTTTATTGTACGATTTCATTCAAATTTGGTAAAAACATTCTATGCCAGTAGCCCGTGAACCCAGTTAGTTTTGGCTGACTTGAGATTGGCTGGGGGTGGTGGGGGGGATTCATAAAATGGAAAAATCATCTTTTGACTAATACAGTAAGAATATTTTACATTTCACTAAATTTTACGATTTTTGGCAGAGCCAAGATGAAACAGACAAATATTGAGCAATTATTACTCCTCCGGCATATACAGGGTTTGTTAGGTTAGGTATATATATTGACATCCTCTGTATCTTTTTTATTCGACGTTTTCGAAAAAAGTGTCTTGAATAAAAGTTTAATGGTCTGGAATACATTTTTTAGAACAGTCTTCTTTGCATATACCGGGTGCCTTAGAAATCCTGCGTGGCCCAACTTTCTTATTTCAAATTAGTACCCAATTTTTTATTTATTTTTTTTATGTTCTCCTAAAAATACTAACTACTTTTATGTAGCATATCCTATACCTAATTTGAAATAAGATAGTTGAACCACGCCCAGATTTTTTGAAGCACTTTGGATATGCGAAATAGACTTTTTTGGCAAATTTATTCAAAACCACTTTCATTTGAGACAGTTTTCCGAAACATCAAATAAAAAAGATAAATGAAACAATGTATAAAAGAAAACCCTAAGTATACTAATCCAATCGAACTTTTATTCAAGATTGTTTGTCATTTGAATAAGTTGGGTCTCTAATAATACCAGACAATATGTGAACAATATTTTATTATTATATTTTAAATAAGTAACAGTATTCTGAGACTTAAACAATAACGATTTCCAAAATAACAGAACTTATACCTATTAAAAATATCTAAATTTTATTTTACCACCTACTATTTACTGATATATTGTTTTATAACAGGTGGAAAGCAATGGTCACGAAGTGCACATTTTTAAATCTGAAAAAAAATCCATTTCATTTAATTTAAAAAATTAGGTACTGTCAAAATTTGTCAATTTGTCAAAAAATGTCATTTGACATTTATGACATACCTCTTCGGAAATCTTGAGAAAAATTACGTAACTTTATATTTCAAGTTCTTCTCTAGCTACTATAACAATTAATTTATGAGAAGTATCCACATAAAGGATCTTACTATACACATACGCATGGAGACATACGCTTCCAATAAGTTTAAAGTTGCGATTTTTTGCGATTTTTTTGACTTAACTTTTCTAAGATAGAATATATGCCATTATCAAAAAAACCTTAAATGATTATGTTCTACTTTGACCTTTACCTAGTTTTTATCCAAAAAAAAAAAAAATAAAAGATCCTTTTTTACTTATCTTGACATTAAATTTACCGCAACCGGGAATCTACGTCAATTATTTATTATTATGACAATTTCACAATAATTATTGACTGCAAGCTAAGGTCGTCCGAAAAAAGGCAGTTATTGGACACAAATTAACTGAAAATGTAGGTTTTGCGCAAAGTTCGTTTTACAGCCCCTCGAAAGACTCCGAATATGTTTTTTTGTTAGTTTTATGTGGTTTCCTCTTAACTAATATGTTTCCAATCTAATGGTATTGCCATAAATGCTAACTGTGGATGTTATTTTTTGCAACTTGGTTTGGACTTATTGCCTACTGTGTGTCGCCTTGATTATTTACAAATACAACTTTCTGCCTGCGAAGCATTTTTCCGAGACGTTCGTTTTAAAGCAGCGTATCTCCAATACAAACAGAGATAATGTCGTAAATTCAAGAAACAAAATGCTCACAAAAGATGAGGCTACAATGTGATCTGATTTAGCAATAGCTACTACAGCTGTTGCACCCTACAGGGTATCACAAAGTTCGGCCAAAAAACTTCGTCTTATTGTTGTGCCCTGTATATGCTCAAAATAAATTCGGAATAACAATTTCTGACGCAGCATCCGTTAAGAAGGAATTAATTTACAATTTAAAAAAAAATCATCAAAATCTAATAAGTCGTTCGCGAGAAATCCAACTTGAAATTGGGGCTAGTTTTTGGTGGCCGGTGTTTTTTGCCGGTGAGTTTATTTGCAACAAAATTTGTAATAACATCAAAATCAGTCCAAGTCGCAGTTTTTGAGATATTCCGTGTGGAGAACTCCAAACTCAAATCTGTGCTAAAACTATGCCAGCTACCATAGTTGAACTCATCCAAAGTTTTATTACCTACAATACACGTTAGACCTTCTTTAGGTATCAAAAGATTAAACTTTTAATTTTTTTTTAGAATTTTCACAAATTGTACTTTGAAATACTTTTATTAATAACAACCCTAAAATTGATATCAGTTAAAAAAGAAATGCAATCATAGACATCTACAGGATTTTTCAGGCAAACCGGTCATTAAAAATACTATAGTGTCTAATTAGATACTATAGTATTTCTCGACTCTAAGGATTATTTAATACCCAACCAAGTTGTGCGAAAACACTCTGTATAGAAATCGCATCGGCTCGGGACATCTAGAAAATCCCATATAGAAGTCATCCAGAGATAGAAGCTAAAGAATGACACGTACTAACAAAATTAACGCTCACAACTTGCACTGAGTAATGATTTAAGCCAAAACAACTATACATAATACATATTTGATCTATCAATCAAATCTAGCAAAGATTTACCACAATAATCTCCACCTCGTCTACACATCTGAATATGTTACACTTAATAAGGGTTGCTCATATTACCTAAATATTTATATTATACAATAATATTGTAGTATTATAGTCTCTATAAAACACTAATTTGACATGTATTACACTGTCGTCAATTCGTCAAGGCAATCCGTATTAGCCAAGAATGTTTTTAACCATAAAAACTATTCTATATCGATTACAAAATAAATTAATTGAATCTAGCTAGTAGAATTTTAGCTAAAACCTCTCTCCAAGATAAATCTATGGATCTATTTTATAGTAAAATTGAATTCTCTAATCGATTTTTATCATCATAAGAATTAACCTTTTAAAATAGCCTGTTTTGTGGGGAATATCTCGAGAATACAAGGAATTGAAGCTCAAATCATAAACCAAAACATAAACTCGATATATTCCTACGCTATCTAAATTCATCATACTTTTTTTTAGAAAAATAGTAGCTATTGTAACTTCACTATGTTAAAAAATAATACGTAAATTATTCAAATACTTTTAGACGCGCCCTGTATACAACGTAGAAAATTACCTAAATTCGAATCCCTTTAAATTGTTTGTTTTCAAGTAAAAACCTACCAAGTGAGTTTAAAATAACATTAATTATGTTTTTATTTAATTGCAAAGAATACAGTGTAAATAAAGAAAATAAATTTAGAATAATAAATACAGGATCCTCCATAAATACACTGACCGGCACAAAATGGACGTTTTTTGTCGGTCACCGTAAAATGTTATTGAATTTTATCCCTAAAAAAGCCATTTTCTCATCCTGTTTAAAAAAAAGTTGTGTGTGCACTATGTGTGCATATTTGACGTGAAACTTCTTACGAAGAAGGACATGAAAAAGTAATAAATTAAAAAATAATTACACGTAAAAAATAGTTTTTTACGTGTAACAAATAGCTTTTTAAGGTAAAAAATATTTTTTTGCTTGTAACATATAGTTTTTTTCGCTTAAAATACTACTTTTCACGCGTAAAA